TGTGTAAACAGATCATATTTATCCAGACAACACACACACAGACAACACACACAGACACAACACACACAGATACAACGCACACACACACCAAATTAAGGGGCGAGAAACGAACACAACTTAAAGGTTAAAAGTAAAAGACTTACCGTGAGAACTTGAGGCTCTATGAAAGCCGGGGTTCCTCTCAAGTTTACGTCTCTTGCGCTGGGGAGGACGCTCGTATCCCAGGAAAAGTTCCGGGAAAGGATTTTCCTCAGTGGGCTTCTTGTCCACAAAGTGATAGGAGCAAACATACACTCTTTTAGGGGGTTTCTTCAACTTTAAAGCAGCTAGCCACATCCTGGACTCGTTGTCAGCTGTTGGCTTCAAAAACAAAGCAAACGGTGGAGCACATCCACATCGGCGTCTTGTAGCTGGTCGATGATCATAACATTCTCCTTCCAGCCATACATTCAAGCGTTTCCACGAATTCGTACAACCACGGACCGCACAGTATGATCCACAACCCAGTTTGCGTTTTCCTATATCCATTTTAAAATCCTCAGAACTTGGAATGATCCTCCCTCTTCGGTCTAAACTGCAGTTGTGTAAGCCGCGCCAAGCGCAAACCGGAAGTGAAAAACAGCATAGCGCTTCAATGGCTGCGCCCATGGTTACGCCCAAAAAACAAGTAATCTAAATAATGAAACTCTCAAGTTACCAGATATCAGCATACACAAGTTAGTACTGAGTAAATTACGTCTGTCAACACATTATAAGATACGATACGCACCTGACACAAAGTGCTCCGAGCATATTCTTGCGTGTTTTGAGGGAGTTTCTTGCCTGTTTATCTTCGCAAGCCATAGCCTCCGTGGTTGTTCTGACAAAAGCTTAGTCTTCTCACATTCATGAAGTCTAATGATGGGTATACTGTAAAATCCAAGTTTAACGGAACCTCCGGCACGATTTGAACATCCATTGACCCAGCAGGAGATGACCATTTTCAACTTTATCACGACATTAACACGTTTCAGCTTCTTTTTCTATTGTTTTGCCCACAGAATGCCAATACAAATGGCGCCGGGTCGGCAAATCCCCGTATGTAGTGACGTCATGTGGGAACTATTTATATAAATGATTATGGATATAGGTTCAGTATATAAATGATTATGGATATAGGTTCAGTATATAAATGATTATGGATATAGGTTCAGTATATAAATGATTATGGATATAGGTTCAGTATATAAATGATTATGGATATAGGTTCAGTATATAAATTATTATGGATATAGGGTCAGTATATAAATGGTTATAGATATAGGGTCAGTATATACCTAAGTACCTCAGCGCAGATGTTCAGAATTCTTTGTTCAGTTTTCATGAAGTTCCAGAGCCTAATAACGGCTTGATTCGGAGGCTCCGTGAAAGCATGCGCACAGCTGCGAGCATCAGCCCTTGGCATGACTCGATTGGTTAACGTAGACGGCACCGTGGATTCTGAACTATAGCTAAGAGAAGGGAAGGCAGGACTTGCCTGTAATATTAGAATTACAGTTTTTCTCAGTTGCTTTGGTGCATTTCTCACATCAGACTTAAACTTCTCAAAACTATTAGTTCAACCTCCACAACATTGGGTCATTGGTGCACATCATCACGGCAGTTTCTCATTCCTCTGAACATATTTCAAATGCTTTCGTTCATGTATCAATAACTTTCAAACAATTCTCGGCGTTTTTTTAACATTATCATTTGCTTCTGTCCTGTCAGTCAGAATGAAACATACTTATGAATTCTGAATAGTCTTTCACTATAAAACTAACTGTTCTCATTTCATCGCTTTGGTCATCACATACAAAATTGTTGAACTAGTTCTCAAAATCATAACTGTCAAGCTAATTTCATACATTCCTTTATCTTTTTTTTCCTGTAAATATTTCCTAAATTTAACAATTTATCTCAGGTGAATTTCAGCTTCACTCTGAGGTGTGCTTTATTGTTTATTTTTGTCACAGTTCTACCATAATTATATTTCTGTATGTTTGTTCTATGTATATACATGTATGTGTCTGCACTTCTACAGCATTGTGCAACAAAAATACAAAGAGCATATGCAGTACACATACATACATATACATACAGTACATACATACATACATATACATACATACATACATACATACATATACATACAGTACATACATACATAGATATACACATACATACATACATACAGTACATACATACATACATATACATACATACATACATACATACATAGAGTACATACATACATAGATACACACATACATACATACATACATATACAGACAGTACATACATACATACATACAGTACATACATACATACATACACACATACATACAATACATACATACATAGATACACTCATACATACATACAGTACATACATACATACATAGATACACACATACATACATACATACATACATACATAGATACACACATACATACATACATACATAGATACACACATACATACATACAGTACATACATACAGTAGATACACACATACATACAGTACATACATACATACGAAGATACACACATATATATACATACATACATATACATACAGAACATACATACACACATACATACATACAGTACATACAATACAATACAATACAATACAATTTATTCTTGTATAGCCCTAGGTCACAACAGAAGTCATCTCAGAGGACTTAACAAAACCATTGAAATCACCAACACAGGTCAGAGAATCAACAGTTAAAACACATGAAGAATATAAAGCACACACAGAAGAAAATGTCCATACATGTTGTAGAATGCTAAAGTGTCCTGATCATCACCAATCCTTTCTGTTGGACACTAACTGTCCAACAAGACCCTCCTGCATCGACAAGGAAAAACTCTTAAAAAACCCAGTGGGAAAAAGTGAGAAACCTTGGAGGAGAACTAGGGAAACCCACAGGGAGGGAGACCCATATGAGAAAGGGATCCGCTCCTCCGGACGGACAGACTAATGATCTAGGACCTAAGCTAGCTACAGAACGTGGACCAGTGGACGCTGAACGTGGACAGGTCCGGTGCAGGACCGAAGCACTCCCAGGCGGGTCGGGCGGGGCAGTCCGCAGGTGTAGATGGAAGAGGCCAGGCTCAGAGATCCCGTCATCGTACCATGAAACAGACAATGGGACAACGGGTGAATAGCAATGAACAAACTACAGTCAGAATCCTAAAAATGCTAAACAGATAAAGTAGGAAGGAGGAGAGGATAGTGCTCAAGTTACCATACTTCTCCCAGCAAACTGACTCCCTATGCAGCTTGACTAACACTCTGAGGAGTTTAACCTTCTCCGAGTCTTACCTTCCTAGCCATATGCTAAACTAAAGAGGACTGTTTTAAACCTAGCCTTGAATAAAGAATAACATACAGCATAATATATAACATAATATACAACATAACACAATACATTATTGAATAATATATAACATAATATATAACATAATACAGCATATATATATAATATATACACTACATATTATATATTACCTAATTATATGCTAAATTAAAGTAAAGTGCTTTAAGCCTGGCCTTGAATGTGGAGACCGTATCTGCTTCCTTAACATAAATGGGAAGCTGATTCCACAGTAAAGGAGCTTGGTAGCTAAATGCTCTGCCACCAACAGTGACCTTTGAGACCTTAGGGACCACCAGACGTCTGGCGTTTTGTGAGCGCAACGCTCGACTTGGTTGATACGACACTAACGTGTCTTGGAGATAAGAAGGAGCCAAGCCATTTATGGCTTTATATTTTAAGAGTAGGATTTTAAACTTTATTCTGTACTCCACAGGGAGCCAGTGGAGTGATTTTAACACCGGAGTTATGTGCTCCCTCCTTTTGGTACCTGTTAAGATCCTAGCTGCTGTATTCTGAACGAGCTGGAAGCTCTTCAAAGAGGCTTTAGGGCACGCTGCCAGTAAAGCGTTACAGTAGTCAAGCCTTGAGGTGACAAACGCGTGAATGAGTTTTTCCGCGTCACTTTTAGGAAGGAAATTCCTAATTTTAGCGATGTTCCGTAAGTGGAAGTACGCCGTTTTAGTTGCTTGGCTTATATAAGCCTTGAAGGAGAGTTCTTGGTCAAAAATGACTCCAAGATTCCTCACAGTGTTACTGGGTATTATACTGACATTATCGAGAGTAACCATCTGGTTAGTGAGGGAGTCACGCAGGCGCTTCGGACCGAGTAGGATCACTTCTGTCTTCTCCGGGTTGAGAAGTAGGAAGTTAAGAGTCATCCACATTTTAAGGTCCTTTATGCAGGCACTGAGCTTTTCTAGCTGATCTGTCTGATTAGGCTTCATCGACAGATAAAGCTGTGTGTCATCTGCATAGCAGTGGAAATTAATTCCATGCTTTTTAATAATGTTTCCCAGTGGCAGCATGTAGAGAGTAAAAAGAATCGGTCCGAGTACCGAACCCTGCGGCACACCGAATTCCACTCCAGAATAAGGCGACGAGTCCTGATTCACATTGACGAAGTGATATCGATCTGATAAATAGGATTTAAACCAGCCAAGGGCTGTTCCTCTAAGACCTATATCACATTCTAGCCTCTGCAGTAGAATGCTGTGGTCTATTGTGTCAAATGCAGCACTAAGGTCCAGTAGGACCAGCACTGACACTTGTCCATTATCGGCAGCTAGTAGTAAGTCATTTGTGACTTTGACTAGTGCCGTTTCAGTGCTATGATGAGCTCTGAATCCTGATTGAAAGACTTCAAACATATCATTTTCCTGCAGGTGGCAGCGGAGCTGCTCAGCTATAAGTTTTTCCAGGATTTTAGATATAAAAGTGAGGTTCGAGATCGGTCTGTAGTTTGTAAGTATTTCTGGGTCCAGGTTTGTTTTCTTCAGAAGGGGTTTGATTACCGCGGTTTTAAAAGCTTGTGGGACATAGCCACATTGTATGGATGCGTTTATTATATTTACGATAGGCTCAATTATCAAAGGAAGTATGTCTTTGAAGAGCCATGTCGGGACTGCGTCTAACATGCAAGTTGAGGCTTTTGAGGATGTGACCACAGAGATCACCTCTGCTTGGCTCACAGCCATGAATTTATTAAGGCCCACTGAAGAGTCTAAGTGGGAAGTCACGTATGCCGCTTCAACCTGTCCACCACTAACAGCAGGAGCAACCTCCTCCAGCTTGTCACGGATGGATGTAATTTTATTATTAAAGAAGTGGAGAAAGTCGACACTGCTCAGTGAGCTTGGAATTTTAGGCTCGATTGCGCTATGGCAGTTTGTGAGTTTAGCGACGGTACCAAACAAAAATCTACTGTTGTTTTTATTCGCTTCTATTAAAGTTGAATAGTATTGAGTTCGAGCCCCGCGAAGGGCCTTCTTGTAGTTTCGGAGACCTGCTTTACATACAGTAGATACACACATACAGTACATACATACATACATAGATACCCACATATATACAGTACATACATACATAGATAGACACACACACATACATACAGTACATACACACATACATATATGTCAGTTACGTCTCTAAATACAGTCTTTGTGTAACTTAACTGTAGTTTTTACTGTAAATGGCTGTACAGGTCGTGTATAGTGTGTCGTGCTCAAGTGTCACCAAGATCTGACTTTTTTACACTGAAAACACAGAGAGTAAACTTTCACAATGAAAACATGACTAAGTCATTTGACTGTGATGTTCATACTCAATGTTGTTAGGACATATTATTTTGACGACATAGACAGTTTCATTAACGTTTGGACTTGCTTTTGAGGAAAAAAACTTTTCATTTTGAGTGACGCACTTTTGCAGGTTATCCACGAGGTTCTGCAGTTTACACTAATTGTTCTGAGAAATGCACCAAAGCGACTGAGAAAAACTGTAATAAAATGACTTATTTTATATCAACATTTAAGGCCAGGAGGTCAATTTAACACATTTCCTAAAATGTGTTATTCATTTAGAGTTACAGACTATAGCCTAGAGTATACTTGCGCGGCGTGGCTTACGTTAGCGGTTGCGGTGGACCTACGTAAGCACAATTGATGTTATACTGGCGCGTTCCCCTTACGGAGTTTTGAGGAGAATGCTGTAATCCCACAACAAACCACATGAGGGCGATCACACAGGAGCGGTCCCATTTACGCTGCTACTTTGTCCTCTTCAGAACAACAATAACAAACAAAGCTGTTTGAGCTCATTACACGTGTTTCTACTGTAGGTTTATGTGATAGTTTTATGGATTCATTATTTTATAAGTCATTTCAACTGTGATGCTGTGAATAAAGACACAGTTCTTGTTGGAAACATAGTTATTATTAAATAGTTTTCAGCACAAACAGCAAAACAATAATAGTGGTAAATATCTGAGACAAACATGAACGATTTACGAGTGCAGGAGGAAAGCAACAAACGCAGCTACGATTTAAACAAAGACAGGAACAGTGCAAAACAAACGACTGCACAGTTTATAAGTTATATATATGTTAGATATAAGTTATATATATGTTAGATAGTCCACAGTCTCCTGTATATCAGGCTCTGAGCCCAAACTGCTTTTCCTTCGAAGCACAAAGCTCTCTGCTCCATAGTGCCTCGTCCATGTCCCTGCTGCAGCCGCTTCATGCTTCCTTCCAATACACACACACGGACCAATCACAGCGGAGATTCCTTGCGGCGACCCTTACGTAGTTAGAAAATTTCGATGCTGCGCGGCAGGCGACGTAAGGGCCTTGCGGTGACCAACGCGTTGCGCAAGTGACGTCACGTCACCTCCGTAAGCTCCGCGCCGCGCGAGTATAAACTAGGCTTATCACTTTAAATAAATATTTGTCTGTTTTATTCCCTTTGACAGAGGTCAGTGTTCTGTCTTCAGTGAACTGTACCCACTGTGGGACAAATAAAGGATCTCTTATCTTAAGGTTCACACTGTAACTGGGATTTTGGCCCATTCCTCTTGCAGATCTCTTCCAGAGCCGTGATGTGTTGGAGCTATCGCTGGGAACAGATTTTCATCTAGCTTAGGAGACCTATGGCTGTGGGCCTGAGGCTGCAGCTTCAGTGTGTGTAGCGCTTTGTGTTGAGCTGATGAAGTGTGCCGTACAAATAAACTCATCGACAAAATCACTTTAATAAAAAATATTTATTCATAATTTATTTTTATCTTAATTCACATTTTTACAACAAATAAAACAATCGCTCAGTCTTTTCTGTCTGCAAGACCATTGTTCTGACCATCCCCACCAGAGAGACCAGAGAAAGACCAGAGAGAGACCAGAGAGAGACCAGAGAGAGAGACCAGAGAGAGACCAGAGAGAGACACCAGAGAGAGAGACCAGAGAGAGACCAGAGAGAGACCAGAGAGAGACACCAGAGAGAGAGACCAGAGAGAGACCAGAGAGAGACCAGAGAGAGAGACCAGAGAGAGACCATCACTTTGACCATACCCCTCTCACATTTCATCACACAGAGAAGCAGATCAGAAGGGTGAGACTCTGGCAGGGGGAGTCGTCAAAGGGGGTGAGACCCTGGCAGGGGGAGAGTTTGTCCCTCTTTAGCTTCAAAGAAAGTGTAGGACAGGGTGATGGTGTCCACGCGGGACATTCTGGGGTCAGTGTCAAACTCTGGGTCGATGTAGAAGAAGACGGGCATGTCCACCTCCTCGTGGGGGTTCAGCCTCTGCTCCTCGAAGCAGAAGCACTGAGGGGAGAGAGGAGACCCATGTTAGCCATAAAACAGGACTACCCACACACTACAGCCCCTCTTCCTCTCCTGTGGTACTCTGATGTTACCTGTCCCTGAAGTACCTGTACCTGTAGTACCTGTGGTATCTGTAGTACCCGTGGTACGTGTATTACCTGTATCTTGTTGAAGTACTGGCCAGCCTCGTATGGTACCACGTTGTAGGTGGAGATCCCGATGACCGGTTTCTCTGTTGGGTTTTTGGCTCGATAAAAGGCCAGCGCTGTCTCACCTGGTACCACCTGAGGGAGAGGGAGGGGAGGGAGAGGGGGAGAGTGGTACATATGTAGATCTCTGTGATGTTACTCTGTGATGTTGCTCTGTGATGTTGCTCTGTGATGTTACTCTGTGATGTTGCTCTGTGATGTTGCTCTGTGATATTGCTCTGTAATGTTAGTCTGTGATGTTGCTCTGTGATGTTGCTCTGTGATGTTGCTCTGTGATGTTACTCTGTGATGTTACTCTGTGATGTTGCTCTGTGATGTTACTCTGTGATGTTACTCTGTGATGTTACTCTGTGATGTTACTCTGTGATGTTACTCTGTGGTGTTGCTCTGTGATGTTACTCTGTGATGTTACTCTGTGATGTTGCTCTGTGATGTTGCTCTGTGATGTTACTCTGTGATGTTGCTCTGTGATGTTGCTCTGTGATGTTACTCTGATGTTACTCTGTGGTGTTGCTCTGTGATGTTACTCTGTGATGTTGCTCTGTGATGTTACTCTGATGTTGCTCTGTGATGTTACTCTGATGTTCCTCATACAGACCCCGTGGTTAAAACACTAATGTGATGTTGCTCTGTGATGTTGCTCTGTGATGTTACTCTGTGATGTTGCTCTGTGATGTTACTCTGTGATGTTACTATGGAATAATTCTTTTGGGTCATAAGCATACGTGTAATGGGTTATTTTTATTTACTCGCGATTTCCAACGATAACGACCTTTATTGAACCAGGTGGAAAAGTGAGAGTACTCTGGGATTGAGTACTCTGCGAAAAGTACTCTGCGGAAAGTACTCGGAGACTGAAATACCTGCTGAAGATATTGGGAGTTCTCCCTCTGCTGTTTGCCCTGACAGTGATTGGGTCCCAACCGCAGTGAGCTGTCATTGGGCGGCGGACAACTGGGTTTGTAACTCAAGTTTAGGGGAGTAAAAAATTAGATACATACATTTTGTGGTTCTGGTATTTGGTACAAGCTTCGCCCTGCATGCCACACAACCCACCTGTCAATGCAGTTATGTTTTGCCCCCAATTGGAAAAAAGATTGACAAGCGAAAGTGGGCATTTTTTTTGTGTGTTTTGTGTTCTGATATTTCTTTTTCGATGAGAGATAAACTACCCCTGCTCAGGGATGAACAGTAGTATGGGATCAGGAGGAACTGAGCCTCACCCTTTGGCACAAACGCCCACAATATGAAATGAGACGACTCCGGGAGAAAAGCAATGAGAGATGAACGGAAACAGCAAATCTACACCACCACTAGGTCTCCTCGACCCAACGGCCATTCCCTCAGACCTGTGGATGAGCGGTGGTGGGTGCATGGTGTCGGTACTGTTGCCATGCCTCACGGCGGGCCACTGTGACCACTGCTTACTCTCAGCAAAATCGGTCCCGTGGCAGCAGGGTGCCTCGCCCCATGCCTGCGGCTGTGGCTGCCGTGAGAAAGGGCCATAGCATCACGTGACTTGTGGGATTACACTGACCTAAACTTTGCTTGTTGCCCCATGCTGTTTCCCTTGATCTGTTCGGAGCGAGGCCTCTCGCCTTTCTGCGGCTCGTTGGTGGGAACAACACGTGCTCATTTGAACTCGGTGAAGGGATGACCAGCTGAACCCCTCCTCGCTGTGCCCACGCCAGAGGACGGGGAGGCACACTGCTGTATCGCCACAATAGAGCAGAGATGCACTCCACAGGCCAGACCTGAAAAGAGGTGCCTCTGACTAATCCTGGACTTGATTTTTTTCTACAGCGGAGCGCGTACGTGACAACACCTGGGAAGAACCGAGTCGGCTATGTGTGTGTTCCTGATTTTGATACTATAGACTCTGGTAGTTTGCCCCCATCCACTCTGCACCCCAAACGCTGAGCTGGTCGCGCCCACCGGGGCTTGTGAGCTGGCAGCGTGGCAAACTGTTAACATATTCTGTGAGAACTGCGCTATGGTTTCTCTGTGGTGCCCGACTGGGAAAGCACGGTGGAAACACCGCAATTTTATGCAATCCTGATGGTAAAACAATTCTGAATTCCACACAGGTTGAACGTCTGTGAAAAGCTGTAATGTTGCACTTAGAGATCGCTGTATGCAATGCCAGGCCACACTAATGCCACTGATCCCATCTCTGCAGGGAATCGGCGCGCGGACACGGCAGCGTCATACGCACCTCTACACACACACACACACTACCTCACTCAAGACGTTGATAATTTCTACCCAGCAGAGACGCTGCTGTGGGAGGGATGGGCTCCAACGACGCATGTGTGTGTGGCAGGGACAGTCAGCCAACCGTGCCGACCACGGCATTCTTCAGACAGTTTGCATTTATCCACATGGTCGAGACTTGCCTTCAAAAGGAGGGATGATGTGTGATTTAATCACACAAAAATGGTTATAAAAGGGTTTACGGTCATTTGCACAGAGATTCAGCAAACATGGCCTTATCCCGCGCCAACCCAGGTAGTCCCAAAAGTATCCCACAGGCTGCTCAACTCCGCCCCTGCGGCCCATTTCACATGTCCAAAGGGACTTTGTTGAATGCTCACACCATGCCAAGGTAAGTACTTACAGTCTGGGTCTGGCGGGCATCTTGGTCCAAATGGATGAAGTATTGCAGGCATACACGCCCCGAGCCCAACGCGGTGGTGAGTTCACTTTGAGCCAACAGTCATGAGGCAGTGGGAGAATTTCTGGGCATTGCTATACTGTAAACAGCAGTTACGCCCTGGTCCGGAGGCACGTGCGAGCGAGAGAATGGCACTCAGACAGCTCTGCGCTAGCCCCACGTTGGGCGCGGGACCCCCGAACAGAGATCTGCAAGCACCTCTTTGTGTGATGCCGACAAGCTGTCCTATTGTAAGGAACTTACTGCACTTTGGTCCTTCTATTTCTGCCAGGTAGGAGCGCCCTGCCAAGGCCTGCGCAGGCGACTGGGTCCAGATGAAGGACACGTGACGAAAGCATTGGCGGTCCAAGCGCTGGCTCGGCCCATTCCCTCGCCTCTGGTGCGGACACTGTCAAATTAGCGGCGAAACTTCCGCCCATCATGGCCGACTTCCTGTTGGTCCCAGACATGTGCTTAGAACGGCTTTTATGCTCGTCTCATAGAGATCTATCACTCATCCGAATTTCGTGTACCTACTCAAAAATTTGAAAAAAAATCCCCAGAGGGTCAAAAAAAATGAAATTTCTAGGGGGCGTTATAGAGTCGGCGAGCGTCGGACAATCTGGAAACGTTCATTTTATCAAATTTTTCGCCGAACCGGTCGTTTTAGACCCCCCATGTGCAGACTTTCGTGCATGTCCTCAGGGTCAAAAATCGAATTGAAGTTGCGGAAAAAAAATAAGAAAAAGAATAATAATAATATGAAACCGGTGAATAACAATAGGCCTCCCCAATACAAAGTATTGGCTCGGCCTAATAATAATAATATGAAACCGGTGAATAACAATAGGCCTCCCCAATACTTCGTATTGGCTCGGCCTAATAAAAAACAAACAAACAAAAACTATTGGACACACAAGAACTCAGCAGATTCAGTCAAAACACAGACAAAAACCGAGCTGAGTCTCAAATTAGAAGCTAATTTCACTTTTATTACTCTATACTTTTATTCTAATGCTAATTGTTTACACTTGACTTATTTCACTGTATTATTTTCACTATTTAATCTTAGACTGTGTACTTTACTTTCACTATTCACTATAGTTTAAAACTATTCTAATCTATTTACAAATATGTTTGCATATTTGCTTCTATTGAGCCATATTCTTAAACATACATTTTAATCTAACAAATCTCTCTGTGGTTTACACTCTAATTATCAGTGGCTTATTATCAGTGGCTTTGCTCTATGTCTATTCTCATTCTCAGGAATAAAACTGAACACAGTAAGGCAAATGGTCAACATTTACACTTCTATAGTGGTCAGTGATTTATTACTTTTTATTATCTAAAGATATTATTGTCAGGCAGTTTGGGATGAATGAACATCATTAATCAAATTAGTATTATACAAGAGCTAATCTATTTTAGCAGGTTTGGGGTTGGGGTTGTGGTGACAGTTTTTGGAGTAATTACATAAAACCAGCCGCAGCAAATACACGGACGTCAAAGGCCTTTTATCAATGCAGAGACGCCCTTCTGACGCCATGCTGAGCTTTGTGAGGGCCCCCTGCTGTCTGTCACACCCTTGTGTCTTTCGTATCTTGAATCTGTATGCCTGCTTATATCCATATGTCCCTGCTGCCAGGAAGGAGCCGGGCCCCCCCCGACACCTACAGACAATGGCTATCACTCTTGCCCCCTTTCACCTCTTGCATATGTATCGGTCTGTATGTGTGCACTCTCTACATCCTGCAGTCTGTTTGCATCCCTATGCGCCTCCTGCACCGGTGGCCCCCCTCCCATCTGTTGTGGGCAGGACTGGCTTTCGTGTGTGTCTTGTATACAGGAAGCTCGGGGCTCTGGCCCCCAGAGCTTGGACATGCTGCCTTTGAGTGGATGTGCTGGCTCTCCGCACGTGCGTTAACAATAAACTTACGCTTTGATCAGACAAAGGACCTTTGAGTTTCCTCCTTCATTGGGTAGAAACTTCCTTAACAATTTGGCGTTGCTGGCATGTCTTGGCATGGATACTTTCGGCGGGGACGAGCGGCTTTGTTTGGCCGACCTGGATCACCAGCCTCTGTTCCTTTTTGGAGACAAAGGAGGGCGCGCTCGTCCCGCGCACGGAAGGAATCCTTTTGCCACACAAGACCAAAAAGAACCTAATCTGGTGAGTCTTGTCTTTTCATCTGCGTAACGAGCCCAGGGCAGCACTTAAGTGTACACGGGGATTTGTTTATTTATGTATTTTTGGGGTATTTCATTCATTGCCACAGCATAGTCTGTGTGCGGGATTTTTTGGGGGGCTTTTTGTTCTAGATTGAAGCTAGCGGCTGCGCGTTAGTATCGCATTGTAAGCGACCCTGGAATCTCTGAGTGTCTTCAGCCAGAACCGCTCCGTTTTCAAGAACGCGCGCTCGCTGGTTGAACCAGCGGGGGGGGGAACGGAGCGCCCCAAAGT